TATCTGGCAGCAAATACTACTTTGCAGTACGAGCCAAGGATATTTATGGACGTTTTGGACCTTTCTGTGATCCTCAGTCAACAGATGTGATCTCTTCTTCCCAGAGCAGTTAAACCTAGGAGCCTTTATCTCTTCCTCTTTCCGAGTTCCACTTTTTGGTCTTGTTTTAATCTTGTGCATGATATCCATTGTAAAAGCCACATTGTGCAAGATTTCTTGGACAGATGTGTATATACACTACATTTGTTTATAATCAGAAGTAAAATAAACAGCCCATAAAGCAAGAATCTTTTCCTGGACAATTGAAGCTTCAGGGTTTTGAAATGTAAATGTGCACCTTGCTTTAGTTTTAAGGCTGGGGAATATGTGTGGGTGTTTATGTGTGTTTTTCCCTATTTATATGTTTACTGCAGTGGAATCTCCCATTTCCATTCTCACATTTACCCCTCTTCAAGTATAAAGTAAGTAGATCAAGGGATCCGAGGTATGGTGTATAACTGGCATGATTCTGCTTCTGAGGGATCTGTAGGTTCATAGCTAAATGAATCTAAACAAAACCCAAGGAAAGAAATAAAAAGCAAAATGGTTAAATAGTTTAAACTAGGTTAATTTGAACACAGGAAAGGATCTGTTCATCTTTTTTCTTTGCTTGGTTGTTAATTAGATGAAAAAGATCTGCCTTGGCCCCTCTTTCCTAATCTGGCTCTTACATTTATTTTGTGCCTTAAAGATTAACTACTAAAGTAAACATGACCATTTATCCATTGTTGATCTTCTCTTTCAGCCTTTTGCCCTTCATTTCTCCTTCATCTCTACTAAATATAGCACATTCCCCTCAAGTGAGTTTTAAACTTAAGGCTTTTAGGTATATTCTTACCAGTGGCATCACTACATTTAACTCTAAAAATTGGACTGCTCTTTTCTTCTAAGAACATAAGTGCTTTTATCTTTGGTCACCACTTAAATTAACTGTGTAAAACGGACCAAGAGAAGAAAGACCATAGTGTAAAGAAAATTGTCCTTCAAACATATTTTAGAATTTATACTGCATACTGTGTTAGAGATTAGGAAAGCAGTGCTAGTTCACTTTATCACCCAAAGCGTAGTATTCTTTCATAGGTAGTAAAATTCACAAAATATAGTGAGCTAAAATATCAAAGGGAAAGCTTTATTTCCTTATTATTCTCCTGTCATCTTTTTCTGTTTTAACCTTTTAACTTTGTTTTGATGGTGCCAAGTTTTGTCTGATTTACCCTCTGTCAACTTTGGACAGAATTTAAAGTATATCCTTTGGGGTTATTTTATGTAACAATTAGATAATACTTTCTATGTGTCTCTGTTCCTGTTCAGAGTTAATCAAATTCTGTTTAGATCATGGATTTTCAGTATGAGTGCCAGCTCTACTGGTATCAGGTAGGTGTTCAAGTGTAGGTAGTTTAGGGCAGGAGAGATGGGGTAAGTTTGGGGATGAGAGTATGGTTGGGAATAGTTTGAAAGAAATTCATGGAGTTTATGAAATAGTTTTTCAAGGCATCTTCCCTTACCATATTTGAATTCATATTCCTACCTTCTCAAAATAAATACATTTTTAATTTTTCTTGGGATTATAGGAGGGAGCTATCCCTTCTATTAATGCTGCTTTGTTTGCAGCTTTGATGGCTTGTAATGGGAAGCATTCTAGCTGTAAAGAAACTCTCATTAGAGACTTCACAGTATACTGTCACATTAGGTGTGAAGTTTGATTGACGCTGAAGAAAGCCTGCAGATTGCCAAAATGTAAGTGCTCCAGAACCTTCCTTTCACTTTCAGAAAATGAGACCACAATGAGAATTAAAGTTTTCATGAATCCAGTTTGCCAACCAACCACATAGATGTTACTCATTCTAGGACTAATGATGATGGTAAAAGAAGTTGTCAGTGTCATGCCAATGAAAATTTTAAAAAGGGAGAAACTGATGATCTTCTAGCGTATATGAACACCTATCTATATCTGCATGTATATATGTTTTTACCCACAGTGGTGGCATTGTTGATTATGTGTTCAAGATCATTCCTGTCTACAGAATGGAAAGCCTGTGTTCAATTAAAAATGTTCTTTATTGGCCGGTTTTATGGTCATGTGATGACAATTTGCTTACCTAGCCTAGAAAAGCTTCCCTTGGTGAATGTTTTTATTTATATTCACTAATCATTTTTTTAAGCTTTCATAGCATTATATAATCAGATGAAGAAAGCCCAGTAGAATGAAAATATTATTTTAGCCTATATTGTGTGTCTTCTGTCAAAGAAAAAAAAAATTCTCAAATAGTAACCCTAAAAATACACTTACTACAGCAAAATAAAACTTTTTTTATTCCAGATGGTGGAAGGAAGGTACAAAGAGAGACTGTAATTATTTGAGGAAAGTGTATATTAGGAGATTCTTTCCTCAAATTAGCATGCCATGGGATTTATAGGCAACAGCTATATTGAATTTACTGAAAAGTGCTAGGCTAGGACTATAGGCATTTATTTTGGGCAGGTTTTGTTGATGAGCTCTGACTTTGTTTCTTTTGAGAGAGAGAATGGAGGACTCAACTAGAAATAGCTACTGATTACAAGACTATATTGTAGCAGTTCATACTCCATGGTACCTTTTCACAGAGTATTACAAATAAGTTTGATTATCCCATTTTGGGAATGCAAGTTTGTTAACAGTTTTAGCCTGACAGTACTTGTGTAAGTATTGCCTTATTGGAAATCCCAAAAGCTTCTGATATTTCCACCTGAAATATAGGATGTTCATACGGCATTTGAAGGTAATGGTGATGTTTGTTGCTGTATGTTTTGCACTTTGTCAGAGTGATTTTCACCCTGTTTTAAGTGTGAGTAAGCCTCTTTTTAAAATTATGTTCTTGCCAGCTAGTTTATAAAATACAAAGACAACATCTCTTGTTAACTGTTAACTTTCTGAGGTAACCATATCCCTGTTTCCCTGGACTTGCTTTAAAATATGCAGAATACTGTGTACTGTTTAACACAGTAGATGTTCATGAGAGAACTGAAGAATACAGCTTTCTTCCTTGAAAAGTGCATATTTATTGGGATGCCGTTTGCCTCACAGAGAGTGTTCCCCACTCAGCCCACCCCCATTTCTGGGATAGTAAATGAAAGATTTAATTGGGAAACATGACCGAAAGCAAGGAGCTTAGAATTTTTGGTACATCTGTCTGCAAAATTCCTTAGGCAGGCTGCACTATACAGTTCTCTTACTGTATTGAGTAAGTGTTAACTTAGTTTTTATCATTTGCTCTTTTGCTTACATTTTCCAAATTATTTGTGCAGCAAGGTGAATGTTAATATTGCATGATATGCATTTACCTTGTTCCATGGATTTTCCAGTACTGTACAAGATTAACAAAATAATGCCTGTGGTATCCTCTTCTCTTTGGTACACTGTGATTTTAGCACATTAGAGTACTGAAAAGACCTTCCAAGTGTTCTCCCCAGCTTCCTTCTTGGGCTATTTCAGAATCATATGATTTATTCGTTATTTTAATTTCATTGTTGACCGGTCGTTGGCCTGTTTTATTCTAATTTCCAGAAAAACCATGCCCCAATATTGGATTCTTGGAAATAATTCTACCTAAAATCAGTGCAGGATTCTGCCTTCCTTACTATTTACTGAGTGATGCCCCTCTCCCACTTTTTAACATTTTTGGACAAACAGAAAGAACAATCTCATGAAGTGTTTTTGTTAGTGTGGCGGACTTAGATCTTATTCCTAAAATGCATTCCCCTTGAGCCAGCCAATGGGGAGGAATGATAAAACACATGTTTTGTCTTCTCCAAACATTTTATCATGCTACGTAAGTTTTTTTTTTTTTTTTTTTTTCTTTTAGAGTCAGCTAAGTACCCATCATTTATATTTAAATGCTGGGAGTGGGGGGTTGTTTTTCTTTTAGTTTTGTTTGTAAATAAGGTAACTGGGCAATCAAACACCTTTTGGGGATCCTGGCTTCATTATTTTCTCCGCTATTTCAAAATTAAATATAAAAATAAATCCTTTGTAGGAAACTTGCATCCTGATTTTTCTTTATTGCAGTTGAAAGTGTAAATAATAAGACAATGTAAGACCTTCCTAATGTCTAATACAAACTGGGCTATAGCAAGTTGCCCTATTTTTATTAGGTTTTGAAGGTTTTGTGGGGTTTTTTTCTTTTTTAAATGTACAGTAGAGTGGTGTCTGTATAAGTGTTAACTGTAGTGGGATTTTGTCCAGCAAGCCTGAAATTTATACTTTGAAATAAACTACTGGGTTTTTAACATTTGAGTATTCTGATTCATTCTAGTTATTTTCAGCCCTTGTGTTGCTTTTGGAAGTCTCTCACCTTGTTAAGAATCACCCATTATACTGTATAATATGGTTTATTTAACCCACTGGGCAATATCACAGCACTCAAACAACATATCATTCTCTGGCTTTGAAGGAGTTGTTAGTAGAGTTGCTCCCAGATTAGATATGCTACTTTTAACTGATGGGAGACCACATTAAGGTTATATTGTGTGCCTAGTCTGTACCACGAAAAGACTCAGCTGGTGCTTGTTAATGGCTGGAAGAATCACTAACTGTATTTCTGTTAGAGGTTCCTTTGAAAACGAAGCTCTACCATCCCCTAGGGCTTTATCATTAAGTATATCCAGCCCGGGGAAGGATAAAAAGCATGGAAGAGTACAGGTTCTTAGGGGCCAGGCCTGGAAGTGACACACTAGTGTCATCAGATTCCTTGGGCAAAAACCCTATCACATGGCACAGCTATCTAGGGGAACATGGGAGATGAGGTCCATGTGGCCAGATGTGAAAGGAGAATATGGATCTGGGTGAGTAGTTTCTGCCATACCATCTTGTATATGAACTTGTATGCTAAAGCCAGGTATTATTATGTATCTTCTTTCTTCTACAGTGTGTCACCCTATAGAGAATGTTGTAAAAAAACTACAAAATCAACAGAAAATGAAAGTGACAGGCTGAATTTAATATACTTTATTAAGACTAATTCTGAATGGAAAAACATAGCTAAAATAGTGCCTTTGGAATCTTATTTGCAACCTTCTATTCCCTCAACTCCCTCCTTCATTTTATGTCACGTTTCAAAATTGGTTTCATGGTAATAAAATCAAAGTCATAGGTCTCTGGCATGCCCTTGTGGAGAGTTTTGTTGAAATGGCTCCAGTGAAAAACAGGGAGGCCACCTTGTACTGTGGGACCACTAATGGCATAGGCTGTATACTGGGATGCGAGGTAGATGTCTGCCACCTGGAAAGCGAGAGGAGAGGGACATTTTAGAAAAGCATTTGGAAAAAACAAGATTCCTGTTTTTCCTTTTTTTTTTTTTTTTTGGTCCTCTTTTTCCAAAGTCGCAATATTAGCCCCCTTTTAAAATAAAATCTTGCAAGCTTCCACAACATGCTCTTCCATAACCATTTGGTATTCAGATGTGAATTGAGTAGAAGTGCATTAACATAGCCAAATTCTGAGATCTGGAGTCAGAATGCCCATATTCAGAATTCTAGCTGCAAAACTTGTTTAAAAATAACCCCTATAGGACTCCGTTTTCTCATTTGTGAAAGGGTTTTAATAACCATACTTCATAGAAGAGTTGTCATGGGGATTAATGAGAGCAAATGCTTGCAGCAGTGCCTAGGATATATTCTTCAGCAAAAGTTGTTACTAATCAGGACTGTAACAAGAGTTTTAAAGTAGAAGGAACTCAACATTGAGGTCCATGAGTTCTCAAAAGCACCTAAACCCTGGATAGCAGCAAATCTTAAACTCAGAGGAAAAAGAAGATGTCTCATAGCTTCTGATTTTCCACATATTCAAAATGGCTCAAGGAAAATGATAGTAAGTGTATCCTTCAACAGAAACTCTTTTGATGACAAATTGGCAGACTCCTCTCTCCAGAAGATAGTAAAACTTGGCAGGTGGAAGGTTGGCTTGGGTTCTCTCCGGTAAGGCGGCAGAGGTCATTCTCTGTGTATCTGGGAATGGCTAGAACACTTCTTGCACACTCTACTGAATGTTTGCAAATACCATTAATAAGAAATAAGCACTCACTGGGGTTTCATGGGTGTCAGGCTTTCTACACCCACAGAATTTTACTTTACACAACATATTGGGGCTTATTAAAGCTAGCGCTTTGGTATCATGGCTAAAAAGTAGCTTGAGTAGGAACTAGACTATTCTAAAGCATCTTCTGTTTAGGCATTAGGCTGATAGAAAAAATTATGTGTAGGGGGATCAGCATTCTTAACAGTTAACTCCACTTCTAACAGATTTCTCCCAGAATTTAGGACTGAAAGTGCAAACAAAAAGACAAGCCCAAACCAGGAGTGCAAAAGGACGTGGTAGAATGATTCTTTTCCACCAACCAAATGGCTAACTCATACCCTCGGACATCCCAAATCCAGTAGTGTGCAGGAAAGTTTTTAATGACCAGCTCTCTTGAGAGGAAAAAAAGACCCTGATTTGTAGTGTTTGCTGATTTGCATGGTGTAAATACTCCTCCATGGCTGATTTCAAGCTATCCACCTGATGTCAACGGATTTTAACAATTGATTCTCACAAGCCCTTATGAGCTGGCTTCAGACCACCACTGCAAGTAAGTAATACCTATTTATTACCTATATTAGGAGATGCATTACAGCACTTAATAATTCTAAGATGGTGAAAACCCTTTAGTGCTTGTCCAATAAACCTGTTCCCTCAGCTAAATTCAGTTCCTGCTTAATGTGAAATCACACTGCTTCCAATAATAGGTTCTTTGGACTTTGGGCTAGTCTGATAAAACTTAAGACATCAACATCATCATCATCATCATCATCATCATCATCATCATGGTGTACATTTACAAATAACACAACATCAATACTAAATATTCTTCACAACAATCCTATAAGGCAAGTACTGTTATGTCCATCTTACAGATAAGGAATCAAATATTCCAAGATTATGGAATTTTCTATTAAGTGGCAGGGCAGGGCATTAAAGTTAGGCAATGAGACCTACTACCAGAATCTGCAAAAGCTGATTCCTGAATTGAACTTATGGTCAGAGACGATATTGTGTTTTATGCCACAAAAATCTCTGCAGCTTTGCCTTTGGATAGGCCTACGTGCAGGTAAAAATTAAATTCAAAAGCCAATTCGCATGTTACCTTTGTGTCATAGCAACCTCCAGGACTTGGGTTAAGTGAGTTCAGGTCTTCACGGCAGCAGATGGTATTGCAGGGATCGCCCTTACTGTAAGGATCCTTCTTATAATCTAGGAGGAAACAGTGATGGGGAAGAGGGTGAGTACTGGTTGTTCTGAGATACACCTGCCCACAGGAAGCCTCTGGACCTGTTCAAGTCTAGATAATCAAGAGAGTCCACCCCAGTGGCCTCACTGACCCAGCCGCTCTCAAGAAACTTGCACAGTGAGAGTGGATGGAAGACAGAATAAAGGATAAATGTGCATCACTATTTTTCTACAAAATAAATACAAAATTGACACTGTTCATCAAAAATAAAGTATTTGTGAATAAAATTTTTGTTTTATTAGCTGCTTCTGTCCTTGAAAGAAAAACCTGTGTTAGGGTTGAGGGGGAGTGGTAAAAAGAAAATACTCTGTATGGGTTATTGCCTCTGTGTTTTATATATTGTTTTTATCAGTGAAAAAAGTCTGTAGAATCTTCTTCCATGTCATTTTATAAAAGACAAAATTCTATCTGTTGAGTATAAAATATGTATAGTATTGATTGAATACTAAAAACTTAACTTCTTATAATTCCTTCTAGTACTGAGATGGATTCTTAACGTGGGAAAACATACATGGATTCTTTATCCATGCGGAAGAAAAATTTTGAGGAATGATTCTTGAGAAATGTGCTACGTACTGTTGTATCGCATGATATATTTCATGGATGCCATATCAGTCACGTCCCCTTGGTCACGCCGGAAGATTTTGGCTCGTGAAGCCATATCATAGGAGTACTCCAAACCCAGCTTCTGAACTAGCATTGGATAGCCACTCCAGCTGTAGATTTTTTCATGGAAAGGAATGTTGTAGGAGGGCCAATATCCTGATTTAGGATGGAAGGAAGGAAGGGTGAGATTGACAGGGAGACAGAAAAGAGAAATGGGACAAAAGAAATATTATTAATGATGGTTTCTTTTGAAAATCGGCACAGGTGTGTGATTGCAAAATGATATTATAAAGAAAATAAAGCTTTGAATGTGAACACTGGCCTTCAAACTGATCCTTTTAAATGTACAGAATCAGTATACCTCTAGATGATTCCATAAGGGAAAGAAGAGCATCAGAATTCTTTGGTTTTCACCCAATATTCTTTTTTTAAATATTTTATTTATTTATTTGTCAGTGAGAGAGCACAAGCAGGGGGAGCAGCGGGGGCAGAGGGAGAAGCAGGCTCCCCACTGAGCAAGGAGCCCAATGCGGGGCTCCACCCCAGGACCCTGGGATTATGATGTTGAGCCAAAGGCAGGCGCTTTTGGACTGAGCCACCCAGGCGTCCCTTCACCCAAAATTCTTAAAGCAGTCTATTAACCAGAAAATAACCTTATGATCTGGATAACAAAACGAAGTGTAACACAGAGCGGTCTGAGGAGCTGGTTTAAGTGAACCTGGTTCCTGAAATGCCGAGATAGTTTCACAGTGTGGCCCTAACGGAACAGGCCAGGTGCTAATCATGGGACAGTGGAAGAATATAGTACCTAGAGTTCAGAAAACCTGAATTCTAGGCTCAAGGCTGAATCACCAGGTCTTAGGCAGTTAACCTCACTTTATTTTCTCTTTTTAACAGGGAAAGGAGAAGGAAGAATCCATAATTTGAAGAGACCGGAGATGATCTTTAAGGTTCCAGCAGGCTTTAACTTCTTTTTGTAAGCATTCCTTAAGGCTTAGCTTCATCCCAAGCTTCATAATGTGCCAAGTCCATAGAGCACATTCATCACTAAGTGTCAGACATGTGACACAGCTCTGGTACAATCAATATTTCGGGAACAGCCCAGATTCCAGTGGCCTGGGCTATTGTCTATAGGACAGTTAGTCAACGCAGGGACTCTTCCACCATTCAGGGTTTATTTCCCGTCCTCCATATTGTCTTGGCCTTTGTCTGCCTTTCTCCCTTTTGACTGTTTTATAGGATCCCCTTGGTAATCATTAGATGAATATTAACTATTATAATTATTATACTTCTCTTTATATGAATGCAGCTCAAATGAATAATCAAAATGGCTGCTTTACACATCACATTTTCCATAAAGCTTCATGATTTACAAAAACATTTAGAGTATCTTATATAATCTCACAACAACCTAATTGTGTATATAAGCATTACCATCCCTCCTTATAAAGAAAGAAACAGAGGTTCAGAGATGTACAATGCCTCCCTTCTGACCAAGGGCTTCCAGCAATATACCACAGCTGCTTCCAAATTCTAGGAGGTTTGTGGAACTTTCTGTCTTTTATGATAATGGCTAGATGATATCATGTAAGTATTTGGGCAAATCACGTTTCTTTCTGAGCCTTTCTTTCCTTACAGTAAAATCGTAACAATGCTGCTTATCTGGAAGTATCTTAATGAAGATCAAACAAGAGAACATAAGTAAAAGGCCCAAAAGAGTGCCTAGTATATAGTAGACAATGAATTGAACTCTCTGTTCTTCCCACCTCTGGCAAAATAACTACAGACAGATCAGCATCAGATTTTTTTTTTTTTTTTTTTTTTTTAGTCTCAGGGTAGATTTCTTCATGGCATCTAGGAACAAGATGACAAAGAACTGGACTGCCATTCCATAATTAGCGGCCGTCCAAAGAAGAAAAGGCCTTGAATAGCCTGTCCCCTTTAACACACATCTTCCCCTTGAGGCTGCTAATTTTGTCGGGCTCTTACGAGCTGGATGGGCCAGCCTTCAAGATCAGACAGCTGACTTCTCAGTTTTGAACTGCCATCCTAACCAAGTGACTGTCAATGATTCGACTTCTCTGTTGACTTCGTGATATCTGATCGGCTGGGCAGCTGAAGTTTCCACCTTCACGAACTGTTTTCTGCATGTTAGGAGCATTTGGTTGGCGTCATTATACAATCTCTGGGGACCGGGGAGCCTGAGGACCAGGCCCTGATTCCCGGGGTCCGTATCTGCCCTCGGTTCTGTTCCTGCTAATCTATCAGCTGATCTATTGCAGTAGCTTCCTAATTAGTCTCCTGCCCTCTCTCTGACTCCCAGTCTTTTCTCCCTTTTCAAAAACTCCCATTTTCTAAACTGCTTAGCAGGATAGAAAGGCTATTTTTCCCTCACCACCACCTTCCACTGCATAGCCCTTCCACTAGCTATCTCGAGCTAACAGTCTCTCAGTCACACCAGTTTCCATGCCTCCATCTGTTTGACCTTGTCCCCTTGTCAAATTGCTGAGCTCTTTTTTGACCTTTAACCATCACTCAGACATCATCTTCACTCTCATTTATTCAAGAAATATGCACATATGTTGTGTGTGCCAAACACTATGATCGATGCAAGGTAAGAGTGCTTGCTTTGTGTCAGCCAATGTGCTCCAGAATTTACAAGAATTCTCCCAATTCACTCTCGTGACAACTTTGTGAAATTACAAAGGTCCACACTCCCACATCCAAAATCTCTTGGAGGCCAGATAATTCAGAACTCAGGGTTTTGCAGGTTTTAGAACAGCAATGGGGTGTGCATATCACATATGACATTGCAGTCTCTGTGGGCAACACTTCATAATCAAAGGCATTGAAATTTCTGTAGCCTAATGTATAGTCTCCCTGGAGGAGAGGAAATAAAGACTAAATAGTTCAAGTCTACCAAACTACCAAACGGGTAGTTTTTGCTACCAAAAGGAGGTCAAACTACTAAGTTTGCTAGGAAAGAACAATAAAAAAATTTTTTGAGATTTCAAAATTACAGATAAGTGATTGTGGACCTTGTACCCCTACTGTCGTGTTTTACAGATGGAGAAAGTGAGCTTGGCGAGAGTGGATCATTTGCCTGAGATTTTGAGGAGCAGAGACTCAAATCAAGGTGGTGCTTCAAATGTCAGGGCTCTGGTCTTGCCCTCCAGACCCACCTTCTCTGATCCTCCCACTGACCACAGCCCCCCCTGGGCTTGGTGCTGCGGACGTTATGACGGCTCTTCCCTTTCTGGGTTCTAATGGCTGTTTATGTGCCTTGCTTCCTCACTAGACTGTTTCTCAAGGTCGGGGATTTTGTACCAGCAGCCATGCTTTTCCAGTCCCTCCCTGGGCCAAGGAAGCACTTTTGTAAATATTTGCTGAAGTTGACTAAAAGCTTTACCCAGGAACCCAGGAGTGAAGGTAATATTAGAGCTATGAGAAGTCCTAAGACTATAAAGGCCTGGATTTGTCCCCAACTATACAATGTCCTATAAGAGTTTGAGGTGCAGATTTTACATGTTGTGCTGAAGCTGGGAATTCTTTCCCAGTGTAGCTAGCAATGGCTTTCTCATCCTTTCTTCCCCACCATTCAATCCCCACCCCCAACCCCATCATATAGTCCCATACCACACGTTCCCCAGCACATGCATACACACTCACAGACTCATCAGATTTCCAGACTTCTAGCATAAAGACAGTACCTCTCCGTAGAACCTCAGTTTGGTCAGAATATTCTACATATGTAGGAATTTGCTCCACAATGTAGAGAGTGCCTGCGTCAAGGCTGTACTTCGGCTTTACCTTCTTCAGGTCCAGGACCATGTATTGATTGTTATAGGTGCCTGAAATATTGGGAGACATGAAGTAGGGTATGGGTATGGCTCTACTGGTTAACTCGAAACCTAAACATATGTACCTGCCTAAGAGCTATCCTGCCGGGCCACTTACCAGAGTTGTAGTTTGAAAAGATCTCTGCCCACTGCCTTCCATCATTTGCCATCATATTGGCCACACGAACTCTTTGCCATGCGAGGAGAGACTGGGGTACCACAAGCTTTAGTAGGGTTTTATTATACACACTGTTTGTGGTCTGTAGCAATATCAAACCACTGCTAAGAATGTAAAAGTCATCCAGAGACTCCAAAAACCCTACAGGAGAGACAGTTATACAAATCAGTATACATATAGCTGGTATATTCAACCAACATTATTGGTGTAGAGCTTTGCATACACAATGCATTTTGCAAAGAGTATCAGTTATTGATACTTGATCCTTGATCTGCAGTAGCCTCTCCTGGTTTGGGCTCACCTCTGTGTGCTTACTTAGTAGCTGCTTATAAAACGTGCCAGTGGACCTCTGACCCTAGATTCTCTATTGATATTTTTTGGTTTTATAATTTGGACACTAAAAATATCTTAAATCAGGACTATTCCAATTTTCCAAAATGATAAACAGAAATAGATCCCCACTAACTAGGATTTTGCAGGAGAACTTGTAGTTAGGGAGGGGTACTAATAGGGTTCATGGCTGGATAATAAGATTAGGGATGTCCTCTTTCTTCTCTTTCTACTTTTCTGTATTTCTCAAATTTTACATAATGAGTCTATCGGATCTTTAGAAAGAGGAAAAACATCTACACTTACCAGAGGAGCTTCCCCAACTTACACCATGTTTTGGCTTTTTTTCCTCAGGAAACACATTAATAAAACAAACACATGTTTACTAACATGCAAAAATTACTTGCCCACGGACCACCTAATACCACCTCACCAGCACCGTGCAGGCCACACCTGGAGAAACACCAACGGATCTGAAGCTTTTGTGTTCACGAAGAATAAGATGAGGCTCAGAGAGGTGAGGGCACCTGTCCAGGACCATACAGCCAGCTTGACCCAGTCCAGCACTCTTTCCACTAAGTGTGAACCCCTATGCTCAGCCTTCATGGCTCTCCTTCTTCTGGCTTAATGAAGGCTAGAGGAGGAAAGCTTCATGGAGGAAGCAGACCTGGAACTGAGTCAGGAAGCTTGTGTAAGAGCTGACTAGGGGAGACCTGGGGGCTCAGTCAGCTAAGTGACCGACTCTTGGTTTTGGCTTAGGTCATAATCTCATAGTTGTGAGATAAAGCCCGTGTGGGGCTCTGTGCTTAGCATGGACTCTGCAGGAGATTCTTTTCCCCTCCCTCTCCCTCCCCCTCTGCTCCTCCCCAAACTCACTCTCAAAAATAAATAAAATCTTAAAAAAAAAAGATTGACTAGGTAGAGAGCAGTGAGCAGCACAGGTATGAACAAAGATGTACAGCAGGAATAGATGTGGCATAGGAGATTGGAAGTTTGGGGAGGCGGAAGGAAAGAAACATTAGAAAATAGAGTTGGCCAAAGAAGGCATTAAGATGGCCAATAGACACATGAAAAGATGCTCAACATCACTCGTCATCAGGGAAATGCAAATTAAAACTACAAGGAGATACCACCTCACACCTGTCAAAATGGTTAAAATCAAAAACTCAAGAAACAGCAACTGTTATTGAGGATGTGGAGAAAAAGGAACCCTTCCTTGTGCACTGTTGGGGGGAATGCAAACTGGTGCAGCCAATGTGGAAGACAGTATGGACAGTCCTCAGAAAGTTAAAAATAGAACTACCCTATGATCTAAGAATCGCACTACAGAATAGTTACACAAAGAATATGAAAATACCAATTCGAAGGGAAACATGCACCCCTGTTTATTGCAGCATTATCTACAATAGCCATATTATGGAAGCATCCCAAGTGCTCATCGATAGAGGATGGGCAAGGAAGAGGTGGTGTGTACATACAGTGGGATATGACTCAGCCATCAGAAAGAATGAATTTGCCATTTGCAACGACATGAATGGAGCTAGAGAGTATAATGCTAAGCGAAATTAGGTCAGAGAAAGACAAATACCATGTGATTTCACTTATATGTGAAATTTAAGAAAGAGAACAAATGAAGGGAAAAAAAGAGAGAAACCCAAAACCAGATTCCTAATTATAGAGAACAAACAGATGGTTCCCAGGGGGGAGGTGGGTGGGGGGGATGGGTGAAAGAGGTGGTCGGGATTCTTTCCTGGTGACGAGCACTGGGTAATGCATAGAATTGTTGAATCACTATATTGTACACCTGAAACTAATAGAACACTTCATGTTAACACACTGGAATTAAAATAAAAAGAAAAGAAAATATAGTTGGACAGTCATTCATTTATTCATTCAACGAACAAACTATTGTGCATCTCCTCTAGGCCTGGTAGGGATAGGTGGGGTGCTATCAAATAATGGGATCGCCTGAAGCTAAAGCTAAGACCGCAGAGCCGCAGTGGGAGTCAGAAAGCCTGCATTTTTGTTCCCTGCACTGCAACTAACAGATTTGGCACTTCTTATTTTATCTCTCTGTTCCTTATTCCCTTCCTCTGATAACCTGGGACTAAGTGATGTCATGCAGCGCTAACTGTGTAATTTTAATTTCTGGAAATTACTGAGTAGGAAAGTTCCATGATAAGGGTAGTGTCCAACCAACTCATAATGAACCTCCACAAGGCTGTCATTGGCCTATCAGAAGTTTGTATAAATGACAGAAGGTTGCACATTCCCAGTGGGATAAGTAAGGCTTGATGAGTGGATGGCACCCTTGAGTGAAATTTTCATGGGCAACTCCTCTTGGAAGATACAGCCCGGACATTGGATGCATGGCTTCACAAGCAAAGTGTGGGATGGATTTCAATGACCTTTCATTCACCTCTCGGGCTGGGGTCATTTTGCAGTGTTCAAACTGTACAACCATATTTGGCTGCCTTAGGCAAGCTCCCCGGTGGAAGATATCCCTGGAGTGGAACGTCGTATTTCTGTCATAATAAACTTGCTAATTCACTCCTTGTAGTAACCTCTATGAACACAAGAGGGCAGGCGTTCTTTAATATGTGAGTGACTACTACTATGTAAGGAGCCGTGGTTCATCCAAGAGCAAGACTGTTTATTACAGATGGAAAAATGTAGGCCACCCAGAGTTCTGGAACAAAGAGAATGAATTGGCTTGCAAAACAACTCTAGTCAAGATGGTTAATTCTACAGTTTAGAGTTTAAGATGAAATAAAAAGGAAAAGGCCGAATGGGGACAAAGTCCTGAAACATTACAAGAGAAACAAAGGTTCTTTGGCAGTGTCAAATTATATTCTTGCTTTTATCTGTCATTAGCAGCTTTGAAAGGCAGACAATTTTAGATCAGGAGGAAGTGAAACACTCAAGTATGAAGGCCAGCCTGCAAATAACATTTCATAGTAACTTCATTGCTAAATTTAATTAAGAAATAAAAGGGAACCCTGACAGTTAATAAATCTCAAGACTTAAAACAAATCACTTGAATCACAAAATCACAAAATCACAACAGAGACCACTACCCTCTGATGCCATTTAGACCTATTGCTTAATACAAACCAGAAAAAATGTAGCCTTATTGTCCTATCAGGTGCATTTACACTGCGCCCATTCCCACATTGCATTAATTAGCAGCTGCAAAGCCCCAAAGACCAAATGCCCTCATTTTTTCCCCAAAGAGTAGAATCAGTGTTGACCAAGAATGTAAATAACACACAAGTCAGCATCAGGACTATGGATCATGTTTATAAAAATAGCTGTGCTGCATTTCTTCACACACACACACGCCACCCTCCATATTCTCTGCAATGTGACCTTGCAGCATCTCCCATCAAAAGATGCCTGTTTCCCCATCTCCTCAATCTGGGCTGGATTTGGAACTTGCTTCAGCTAACAGAATGTGCCAATTCCTAGGCTAGGCCTCAAGAAACCTTGCACACTTCTGCTTACTCTCCTGGAACCTTGGTATTGTCTTGTAAAGAAGCCCAGCTGAGCCTGGTCTCTAGGTGAGAGGCCACGTGGAGGACCAACCATCTCAGCCAAGGTCAAGTTCTAGCCCGCCAACCCCCAAGCGTGCAAGGGAGTTCTTCCAACCTCAGCAGAGCCGCACACCCACTCCAAAGCCAGCCACAGAGGCATGAACGTGAGTAGCTGAGGTGTCTAGAAAGAGCCACTTAGCTGACCTGTGGACTCAAAAGCAATAGTAATCACATATTATTTCTAGCCACAAAGTTTTGGAGGTTATTTTTTATACAGAAAAAGCAAACTGATACAATAATAAAAATAATCCAATTATACAACATATTTTGTTTTCAAAGGTCTTACTGCCATTTGATTTTAACACAGGTGGATATGACCCTTGGGGAACTCTCTGGTCTTCCTTTCCTCTTTTAACGAAAAGCAAAATAACCTTGTACCATGCTCTCCGCCTTTCTGCTTAACTTCTTCCCACTACTGAAGAGGGACAGTATCACTTCTCTGCCCTGTGGAGAGCACCAGCCTGGGCTGGGCTGTCTGCTTTCTCCGAGCCAGTGTGGCAACCAGCCAGTAAGTGTGTACTACACACAGAGTATATCCCAAGCACTGTGCAGTAATTCCCAGTTCAGAGACGATATGAGAATTTCCTCAGGAGCTCTTCCCTCAGACCTGCTGAGGGAAGAGCTGCTCCCTGCTCCCCTCGGCTCCCCTCAGCGCCTCCACCAGAACCCCTGCTCTATGGCGGCTGCCTGCAGCTGGTGGCTCTTCTCCTCTCACTCTTGGGAAGGGAGGCCTGTGGGGCTCCCTGTTATCCCAGGACACAAAACCCTACAGCCATTTATTTTGCCTGCTCAACAAGGGACTCCGTCTTCCCACCTTCCAGAGTGGCATTTGCTTGTCTTCCTGCCAAGATCCTAACTGGTGGCAATCAATCTCCACTTCTCCTTCAGTGATTATTCTTCAATCAAGGAAGTATTTATTGAGCCCATTTCTGCCTAATCCTGCAGTGGGAATGTGATCCATGGAGGATTCATACTACTGTGTGTTTCAGCACAGGAGCCCATACTGTGGAGACTGAGTACCCTGCTGTGGTCCACATAAAGGAATGAGTAGGTCTCTTAAAGACTATTTAGAGTGACTATCAAGAAGTCGGCTTTATATTTCATCAACATTCTGTTACCATCCACATCAACATGAAATTGGTTTTTCTTCCATAATGAATTGTCATCTTATTTACTTTATATTAATTTGTTTCCTGTTTTCTTTTCCATCTATCCCAT